CTGATATGAAAAGAAAATTTCCGATCCCCCCCCCCCCCTTACTTCAGTAATGGAGTGTTTTTTCTTCACCCTTTCGAATGAAGTGAAATTGAAGTGTTATGCCTGAAATCTTAATGAACATGAACATCTTAAACATTCATGTATGAACATTCATACATGAATTAATATATTAACACTGTCGCTGCATATATTAATTCTAATACACGAAGAATGGTTTGTATCAATATACCATTCATTCTGACTTCGTGGACAGTTTGTGAATACTCACATTACTACTGTAGATAAGATTCCGGCCTTCCTAACATGCTTCTGCATTTTGTGAAATTATGAACAAAATTACAGTATACATCTATGTCACCTTCTAGATCTTGCGTATTGCAAATATAAAGATATCTATATCAACGCGATTACGTTCAACATATGACGTTGTAGTCATCAATAACACCATAAACGCAACATTTTGGCAATATAAAAGCAAACGTTTAGTAAAAAAAACTAGCGAGAAGACATGTTGATTTCTTTTTATCTCAATAGTGTTAATTTTACCTCATCTTGACATTTTGAAATTCCTGACATTCGTCTACTTATTTAAAAAGTTATCCAACCTTTTTTAAAGAAACTCTTTCCGTAAAACTGCCTTAAAACATTATTTTCCTATATATTTCAATACTAAATCGTAGAAATAGTTCTAAAAAACAATACCGCGTTTACAGTAATATAATATTAAAAGTACGTAGGCAAATTTGATAAAAAAAAATATAGATAACATTCTGCAAATTCTAAAGAACATTATATCAAATTTACAGGATATGTTTTCTCATAAGAATTTTTATGTAGTAGAACCGCGACCTACCTTAACTAATAAATAAGTTATTAAAAAATACATTTAGTTAAAAATTAAATTGGTTGAAATTATCAAAAATTGAGTTTTATTTCTTATTTGTTTTTGGGTTGTTTTTGAGGAAAAACAAGATACACATAAGAACTACAATGCATGGCCGATTAAAAACCAATTACATTTATAGATAGTGCCTTGATAAAAAATCTTCAAAATAAAATTTGTTAAAAAAAATATTAAAAAGAAACAGTAGAATAATACAAGAGGAAGATGGAAGACCCTAATAAGAAACAGAGTAAAGACAATATGCTCCCAAACCTCGTTTGAGGAAGCATAATTATACAGACTAAGGGGCTCATATCACACTAAAAGGCCTGAAAAAATTTCTTTTCAAAAGTAAAAAGAAAATCCTTCTTTAAGATAAGACAATACGTGACGACGCCCATCTCTTCATCTGATCAATGGTAATAATAATGCCTGTTTTATTTTCAGTGGCAGATTAAAGATGGAGTGGGAAGGCGGAAAACCCGACGCCCCCTTATTTTTTTCAATTCAAGCTAAAATATTAAGTCAACTTTAAAGGCTTAAGTCTTATCCTATAAAATTCCAAGGATCCAGGTGTATGCCACTGCCCCCTGCCTAATCAGCAGGTACCCTGTAGCTTTGATTCTGGCAAATAGAGGAGCACAATTAGTGCCCACCAAATAATATTCCAAAATATAATATTGTTGGAAGTCCTGGTACAAAGATGTTGTCAATGAGAAACTCCAGTATCCTTTTAATGTCAATTTCAGAATAATTGTGTATAGAATGAGAGTGATTTTTAACAAAGTTATTCTGTTGTTGACCAATCACAAGTTATAAAAATTTCCGAGTTCCGAATTCCTTGAAACCGAATTTCCTGAAGCAATTACCTGTGATTTCAAAAAGCCTATTTTTTAATTTATTGTAAGGAATTGTTAAATTAAATGTAGAAAATTCAAACGTTTTCCTGTTGACATATAAGTTGATGAAAGAAGATATCAACAGTTCCGTCTAAACTCATTTCGCAAATTCTACGATCGATACAATGACTTTGTTAGCAAATACAATCTATCGTTAAGTTGAATGTTGACTGACATTTTTCATACGAATTATTAGGCCATTATTTTCACCCTGAATTATATATGGATTTTTCCGTGTGCCCAATCAAGATAGGGAGCACAGGGTGGGTGTGACCTGTCGAAGTAGATGCTTACTCCTCCATGGCAATTTACCCCACCTCTGATGTTTTTAGAGGTCCGTGTTTATTCTGCTACCAATCTGTATTCTTATACCTTTAAAAATTGTTCCTATATAAATCTTACTTTAAAAAAGTCTAACATTTCCAATGTTTTACTGAGCTGTCATAAAAAAATCGATGTTTGTCAGCGGAGGGAGAGATTGGACATGTCGACGCAGCTAGGTTAAGGACTCCCATATTTATGTCAGCCTATGCAGAGGTTCGGGAAAGTTATTATGACGTCACATTAAAATATTACAAATGAATCTCGATGAAAAAATGCTAAATTTTACACAATTCTCGAGCAGGAGGAAGTTGCTCCCAGCACTTTTCATGTTAAAGAATTCGTCTCAAACAAAACAGAATAAATTTAATAGCGGAAAGAGACTAGCATATCGTTGAACTTTTACGATCTTTGTAGTAATACATATATGTTCTAATTTTAAACCTGTCACCTGACAAAGAGCTGATGTAAGCGATGTCGCTTTGGCCAAACTCAGCAGAGACCCGATATGTACAAGTGCCAACACCACAATTCACATTCATCAAAATTAATGATTTTTAAAAAAATATTAAAATTGTATTCATTTTTTCTGAATATATTAAGGCGTATATTTCATGGGCGTACTTAACCTAGCTGCGGATGAGATATTGGCCCGCTTACGTCACACAATGGGCGGGATCAGCATTTGTATTCGTTGGTGTTCGGAATTGACCGAGTTTAACCTGAATACTAGTAAAGGAAATTTATATCAAAGAAGCCAGCATAAGATACCCGTATGTCAAGAAAAAAAAAATAAAGTTATAACAAGACATTTATTGACTATGTTCTCGGGTAAAATGCGTTTTGACTTCCCTCGTACCAAACTCTTTGCCTGAGGCCTACTCAGGCAAACAGTTTGGTTCTTGGGTCCGACAAATCGCATGTTACCTTCGAACCCAGTCAATAAATGTATTATGTTCCAATGGACATCTGAGCTTGATTACTCTTCCTTCTCTTCATATTTTAATTTTTGTCACCAACTTTAGACACATTTTGTGATTTTAAATTTTCTTAAAGCACAGGATGAAATAAAAATATTCAATCAATGGAATGGTAACTGAATGCTCACTGAAAGGTCACTGAAAAGTGACTGAAAGGAGCCTGTAAGTGACTTTTCTGTGATCTTTCAGTTACCATTCAGTTGATTGAATGACAGTGGCCTTTCTGTTGTCTCTTCATTATACCTTTTTATTAAATAATCTACTAGTTTTTTAACTTAGCAATTTTATTTTACTTTTTCCTGTTATAATGGTAACAAATTTATATATTTTCGAATAATAAATATGAATAAAAGTGAATCTAAAAAAAAAAAAAAGAAATTCGTGACAAATCCTGGGATTGATCTCTGTTTTTAAGGCTTGATAGGCTGTTACCATTTTTTATCTTTTATTTGATAGACCGTTACCTTATCCATTACACCACGGCGACTAATCAATACCGATATCCATTAATATCAATAAATGTCTAGAAATCGAATCGTGACACAGTCACCTGATGCTTGGCAATATGTATAAATCTTGTTTACATCTTGTATATTCTATGTAAATTGCGCAGATTTTGGGGGCAGACTAATTATTCCACGTTTCTTGTAGGGATAATGACAATTATCGGCAACGGACACCTACTTTTTTTAAAACAAATTCTACTCCTAGAAAATTACGTTAAATAATTTTAAAATTATTTTTTTTTATCTAAAACATCATTTGATTTCAACGATTCAAAATAACTTCCACAAGAAGAATAATTAATTAATTCTGTCTTTGCTTTCACTCAGAAAAATTCCATAAAATCAAACCACATTAGATGGACAAAAAAAAAAAAAAAAAAAAAAAAAAAAAAAAAAAAAACTTTAATTAGAGCTGATTTTTTTTTAAAATAGAATTTTCTTGTTTAAAAGAAATATCACCGACATCCTCGATTTCTATTTTCATGTTTGACTTATTGTTTATTCATTTAACACTTAGATTGAATAAGCTTGTGAAAATATTTATCGCAGATATATAGCGATTTTACAGAAAGAAAAAGAGCAAGATCTTTGACAATTTATTGAATTCAGATACTAATATTGGATTATTTTATGTATAATCGTTTTTGTATTCTTTTCCTAAATCTATTTTTGTGCAATGAATTAGAAATTCTAAAATAATCTTATTTTGTATGAGTCCATAGTTGAACTGTAATATTCAACATATCTATTACTATATTTGACATATATTTAATCGTCTTTAATCGCAGTTTAAAATCTAAGGAAACAATTTAAATAAAATTGAATATATAAGGAGAAGGAGATATTTTCATACGCTGCAGTTGCACCAAAAATGTAGTTCCTTATGGATTTCAAACTCAGTTTACCATTTCTATTTAAAATTGTACAATTATGATGAGTAAAGAAAGATATGATCTTTTAAATACATTACAGCTAAGTTTATAGGACATACAAGCAAATATACTTGGAATATTTCATCTAGTCAAAAATCAGACGAGAATCCCTCCTTAAAAGACTTCATGGGTTGTTTTATTGTTGGTGTTTTTTTTGGGGGGTGGGGGGGTGGGGGGGGTGGTGGTGTTGTTATTTAATCTTGTAAATCATGTAATCTTGTAAAATTTAAACATTTACTGTCTAATGTTAAGATTGTCATTCACTATAAGTAATCCAGTAAAACAAATTCCAATCATTGATTATTGTTCAACATGCACAAACTTTGGGAAATTAAGTCAACCTTTTAACATTAATCAATCGACCTTGAAATCATAACCTTACATTTGTGCATACAAGATTGGAATGTTGTATAAATATATTAAATTATGCCTTTGATACTTCAATTAAAACACAGAGTAAAAAGAAAAATTATATTGACCTTCCATTTCTGTTGATAATCATTTCTGTTCCCACTTTTAAGAACTTGTACCATAGTTTTGCGTCTGTCATTGACATCGTAATGAGTCCATTGGTAAGTTGAATACAGTTGTCATTTTTTTCAGCAATATCACCCCTGGACACTCCATCGTCCGTCGACAAACTCTGCACGTCTGAATAGGCTGACGAGCCACTGGACATTGAGTACAGTTGACAGGTGTCCATATCAGAGGACCTCATCTCCATCTCTGATGATGATGATTCGAACGATGATGAAGGAGATGAAGATATGTTTGATGAAACTCTTTCATTTGAGTTTTTCTTTCCTTCATTTTGCAAAATTTGCTGTTTTGCATTTGCTTCTCCAGAGTTTTGGTGAGTATTATTGTGACAATCCATACCTAGATAATGTGAAAGGAAAACATAGATTTTATAATACATGTATCACAAAATTATCTTAGAAGAACACTAAATACAGGGTAAATATCTATATCTGAGAGCAGAAGAACACTGAATAAAGGGTAAATATCTATATCTGAGAGCAGAGAAGTTTCTCATAAAAAATATAGTAATTGTTGCAAATAAAACTTTTCTCTTTTTATAAATAAAAAAAGCATAAATTTATATTTCCATAATTATCATCTGCGTTAGATAATACAAGGAGTACCATTTAATGATTAAATAATTATAACAATGATTTATATAATAAAACAGAACCGATATTTTTAATTTTTTTTATTTTTTTATTTCATTTTTTTTAAACTATCACTATTTATGCAATATAAAAAAATTTAAAGTAATGGAGGTTATACTTGTCCGTCCAAAATACCTTATAACATGCAGAACTTTGTCCTTATTCCTCCTCACCTTTTTACTTATTTGCTTTTGTTTTGTTTTTTTTTTTTTCGTGTTTTAAATATACTTTTATGTTTTTTGATATAAATACAGTAAGCTCTTGGTAGCTTGGGATCAGCCTTTCATCTTTCTCTCAATTTCGAGATAGAAGGGGGGATATTTAGAATACTGGTCCTGATCGCTGAGCCTTTTTTCGAGCCCTATCGAGTCCCATCATTTTTTGATTACTATATTAATGGCAATACCTAATGACACATCAAAAAGACTTCTGTAATCACTGAAAGTTTTAACTTGATATCTTAAATGATTTCGAGATCACTTTTTGACAAACCGAACCTCCAAAAAATCGAGAGAAAAAATATCTCAGGACCGGAAATGACGTCATGAAAACAAAGGAAAATTTGGATATTTCGATTATATATAAGATCTAAAAGTTTTAAGCAAATCCGTCAAGCCGTTTTTAAAAAATCGCGGGAACATAATCGGTTAAAAAAAATTACTAGATGCAATCTCAACGCAGGCGAGTTAAGGCTAGGTATTGGCATTTCTATGCAAATAATCAAATTAAAATGCCTAAGGACTATATCTATTATACAAAGAAAATTAAAACTTATTGTCTAATACATGTTTGGTACCCACGACATGAGATAGCCAGTACACATTATGATTGCAGGGACGTCATTGTTCTTTACTACACAAGAATATAATGGACATCAACAAAAATGCTTCGGAGCAAGGGCATGCTCTATTTTATTTAATTGAGACAAGACATATTTAGAAACAAAATATTCTCAAGTTTGCTGGTATTGCTGCACAAATATCAACAGCTCAGTTGTATAATTTCTATTTGTAAAGTTTTAAGTTGAATAGGGTAAAAATGTACCGTCCGGTATAAGTTTCCTCAAATTCCGATTGAATGAGGAAATGCCTGTGATTTGTGCAGCAGTTTTATTAATCTATAGAATATTCTTCTTAGCATTTTACAATTTTTATGGAAAAATGAATAGGGTAATCCCTTGCGCCGAAGCTGTTTTGTTGAAGTGTTTTATTACCTCCAATAGGTAAGATCAGTGACGTCATAATATGACGTCATAATGTATTCTTGCTATAACATATCGTGGGTACTAAAGAAACTAAATCAGAACTTTCTCTACATAATAAATATACCTCTTATGCGTTTTTCTTAGCTCATTTGCATAGAAACGCCTATACCTAGCCTTAACTCACATGCGAATGTGAGCAATGGGTGAGTTTTCCGTTAAAATTTTGATGAAATGTTATGATTTGCACTGCAATATTTGGTTATAAATAATTACACAAAGAATTTATCACTGATTTCAGTCGGATGTTTTTAAGAACATTAATCTGAACATCTTTTGTTCAACATACTTCTCAAAATATTTCAAGTTCCACGATATACGTGATAAGACATTTATAAGTTTTCCCTAGATAACCCTTATTGAGGTAACGTATGTTCAAAATATCATAACTTTTCGTTGGAGATTTTAAGATGAGCATTGTTGCTTCAGTAATGTATAAGAAAATACTGATCACTAAAGACTACAAATTAAAAACTTCGGTACTGTTTCGTCCCAAATATGAAGGGCCAGTCTTTTTTTTCCTTTTTCATCTAGATCTATTTCTAAATGCCCTGCAAAAATCTGGAACACTTGTGATGTTTTGATTACAAGGTGTTCTTTTACTAGTAAAAAGCTTCTATACCAAAATTTGGGAAAATTGAACTGCAAATCTTCTAATGTTGTCTACAGAATAGAATCTACCTTTTGTGGGATTATTTATGTTGGTAAAACCTAGGGTTCACTTAATAAAAGAATATCGGGGCATATAGTTCAAATCAACAGCGGGGGACAGCAGCTTCTCTACAAACATTTTAATTAACCTAATCATTCAATTTTGTCCATGAAAGTTAGAAATCTAAAATGGATCTACTATCATACTAATTGCCCAACACTGAAAACACCTTTTCGCATAAAACGAAAAGTTTACTATAGTTAACTATGGTAAAAACTTTGATACTTTGATTTAATATGAAACTTTTCTCTAGAACTTTTTTTGAGTTTTCAAAGCTCATATTCTCTTAAATTCGGTAACACTGATGTAAAATTGGGAAATAATATGTGCACATATAATTAATAGTTCCAATTAATATAAAAAATGTGAATGTATGAATTGAAGTACAAAAAATATAACAATTTGAAATTCATAGTAAAACGACTTTGATTTACTATAGTAAAAAAACTTTCAAACCATAGTAAACTATAGTTAACTATTGTATTATTTTGTTAGGGATAGAACACGGACCCCTGGAAATTCCAGGGAAGTTATCAGGTGCCTAGGAGGAGTAAGCATCCCATGTTGACCATAATCCTCCATATGCCAAACATAAAAAAGAGGACATTGACACTTTTCAAAAATTAATAGCATCGAATGGATGTTGAATTCTCGATTAAACGGTTGAGGGGCAATATGAAAACCATATACCCTTCTGTCTTCAATAATTCAGAAGTGAAAAAAGAATAAGAAAGATAAAATAATCAATATATACTGGTCCCAACTGGCAAAGCAGGTAACAACATTGTCTTTGTAAGGCCCGTTACTATAATAGTAGTTTAGAGGAACTTGGTAAATTCTTCAAGAGGTAATCAAACTTATATTCATTGGTCCCTTCGTAAGGAGAAAATTCTTCAAAATTCTTTAAATATTTTTAATATTCTCACCAATCAAGTATGAATTTGAATTACCATAGCTATATTGGATTAGTTCAAAATGTAGTTTATTCAAATCAATGAAATGAATTGAACAGCAGGCATAAATGTCTATTATTGTTCTCTCCATAGCTATACTGGATTCGTAAACTACATAAAAATCCTTACAAACAAATATATATAGCGGGTTCTAGTTAACGTTCTGCCAAGCCTCTTACTTCACTTCTCACCAAAATGTTAACAGCAGGGAAGGAAAAACGTCAGGACTACTGTACAACTACATACTCGAGAAGTGGTGTTAATCAGATGTAGTTACTTTAAAACTCCAAGACACTCAGAAAATTTGAAATCAAAAAAATTTATCAAAATCAATAGTATCAAAACGTACGACTTTTAAACACTTTATACAACCATTCCTCATGATAAATTAAAGTTCTGGCTTTTTGACATTATAGAATACTGCTTTTTAATAAAAATGGAACTCGTAAATACATGTATGCATGCCTTGTCATTGACCAACTTCAAAACTATTTTGTTAAAAAAAACATTCTGATTGTACACACAACCACTCAGAAGTTGATATGAAAAAGATCCCTGAGTTTCTGATTGACATTATGTTTATAGTTTTTGTAGATCAAGTCTTCCAACAATCTGTTGGAATTCTCATTGGTACTTATTGCGCTCCGTTATTAGCAGACCTATTTTTGTATTCATATGAAGCAAAATTTATTAAAAAACTTCTACTTGAAAAAAGTCTCTTGTTGTGGCAGACCTATTTTTGTATTCATATGAAGCAAAATTCATTCAAAAAAACTTCTACTTGAAAAAAGTCTCTTGTTGTGGCAGACCTATTTTTGTATTCATATGAAGCAAAATTCATTCAAAAAACATCTACCTGAAAAAAGTCTCTTGCTGTGGCCTTCAATTCGACATTTTGATCAATCGACGACGTTTTATTAATTAGTAATTTTCATCTTCATTCCTACGTTGATTTGATATATCCCCTTCATCTCAAAATAAAAGACGCTACAGATACTGAGACATCTGTTTCATTTTTAGATATTTTACTAGAGAAAGACAGTAATAGCAAACTTACATCAAAACTTTACGATAAACTTCGCTATCATCAACTTTCCTTATTATTACCTGCGTATGGAGTTAATGTACCCCTGTTGATTCGATACACAAGAGCATGTTCTACGTACAAACAATTTCTAAAACAAGGCAAGTTATTGACAAATAAATTGATCATACAAGGATATCAACAGTCCAATGAAAAGTCAGCATTTTGCAAACTATGGTCGATACAATGACCTTGTTTATAGAATCTATCGTTAAGTCAAATGTTGACTGACGTTTTTCATGCTATTTGTTGGAACATTATTTTCACATTATATTGTCTACGGATTTTTCCAAAAAATTTTGCCGAAATTAATAGCAGCAAAAGTTTTCACTTTTCATAACTCTCTACAACAAACCCGTACATGAAATTAAAGACAAGACTTTTTGACACCACTTACACCTGCTTCTTGAATTATCAAAATATGGAACTCAGAAATTTTCATATATTGTAATTGCTCATCTACGAACTTATTTTGTTAAAAATAATTTTGATTTTACACAGAAGTACTCTGAAGTTAAAACATCAAACACGTGTTTGAGTTCCTCATTGAAAATATTTATGCAATCTTTGGTGATAAGGACCTTCCAACATCTGTTTGAATTCCCCTGGATACTAAATGTGGCCTTATATTAGCAGTCCTGTTTATACTAACAAGCCCCTTGCTATATAAACAATATCTGTTTTTACTCATACGT